TGCCCTGCTGGTGCTCTGAAATAGGTTTGGTTCCGAATTTTGTCCAGGACTCTTGTAACTGCCTGTATGTTAGCCCCCAGTCCTACCTCTTGCTTGCTGGATCCATTATTACTCAGCCTCGCTTCGGCGAAGCTGTTTTCTTTTTCTTACTTTGTCTCCTTTGTCCTTGACGTACTTCCTCGCTTCTGGCATGACTTCTCATATTTATAGCATTGAGCTCTTTCATGCTTTTTGGCAAATGCTCCTTTGCCAATGACTTCCGATGAGAGCGCAATCATCTTTCAGGCCATTCTTACAAGACACGACTGCCACTTTTGCTGATTTCGGGTATTCGGTTGACCACCTCATTGTTTACTTTTGCATAGGCCCTAAGCCTTCATCCATACTGATCTTCAGAACCATCAATGTGTCCCATCCCTAATGGCTGCAGCTTTGTCTTGTCACACCTAGCCAATTCTCAGCAGGTCTTCCCAGTCTTCACATCTTCCCTTTGGTAGTTCTGTGAAACAACTTGATGCAATCTCCTTGAAAGGTGAGGGGAACAGACCTGTTTGGCAGAAGCAACGGCTCGTTGCCAACATACCACACATGCCAGTTGAGTTTCAAGTATAATCCAACGGTGAAAGTTGGGGTTGACTTTACCAGTATCATTTGGACCTCGGCATACTTAAAATCCTCTTCGGCGCCTCAAATTATGGTCCATTACTACCGAGAATGTCCGTCTCGGCTTAACAAGCTTGAAGTTTACTTCGGCTCAGCACTTATGTTGTTTCCTACTTGAAGTATCTCTCAGGTCTTCCTTTGCTACCGCCCAGGAGCTCGGCTTGTCTCCCGATTTAGTCTTTTCGGCATATTACTTCTCAGCTTCGTTGGGGCCTCTTATATGACATATTCTTCCATGAGTGTATCGAAAGCACATGCTCTGCCTTTGAATGCGAGTTCTTTTGGGGATTTGTTCTTTTGTTCGATGTGTCCTTCGTGACTCTTCTTCCCCGAAACTCTCCTCGCCCGAGCTCCCTGCGAAGAGCCGGTGAGAGTGTTTTCGCTCTGTGTGCTGAGGGCTATGTGGAGATTGGCTTCTGTCCTCCATTCTGGGCATTGGCCGTCTGGAGTCATCCGGTCTTACAGGGGTTATGCGTGGCTGCATGACAGATTACTTTGTCATCAATAAAGATGGAGCCGATTTGCAGTCTGCCAATTGTTTGCCATCTCTTCACCTCTTCGTCCCCTGCAGACATCTACCTTCATACCCTGAGTTCGTTCCTCGTTGAGTACGCACTTCGATCTGTTTCTGCACTCGCCATCGCCTGGTGACGTCTTTACTGCCGTGATTTTCTGGTTCTGAGGTCTCCTTATCTGTAGACATCTTCTTCCTGTTTGGGTCAACGTGTTTTTCCTCCCACTATCAGGGATTTTCATCCCCCGAATCTCTACACCCCACCCGCCCCCACCCTATCCGTCCTGCAGGAAATCTCCACTCAATAGTATGTACGGTGTCCTTGCTGTCACGCTTCTTGTGGACCATCTATTCTCCTTTCTTATGGGCCCACAACACAAGGACACTTTCGAAATTGTGTGAAGACTGCATTATGCTCATTATCATTATCTACAACTAGCAACTCTGAGTATTCAGCTGGGGGGTGCACTCGTCGCGCAGAATAGATGCAACTGTCTTAAACTGAACATGAAGAGAAGTTTACCTCGGCCAAAGAGGGGGGAAAAGAGGGGGAAAAAGGGTAGTGGTGTCGTGCACCCTAGGGCACTCCGACGATCAAGTCAGTATATCTCTCAAAGATAATCAATAAATGCTAAACTCACTGTTTTAGAATATTAAATTGCATATCTTAGACCATCGGGTGCTTTCTTTTATAGTTACTTAATCTAGCCCCCATAGAAGCCTAGTTCAATGGACTTCTATCAATGCTTATCCTGACTCTCCAAGAGATAAGATAAACTCCTAAGAGTGTTATCCTATCCATGCGAGGAAGGAAGGTACAGCTTCCTAACATTTCATAGGGACTCTTGTCTTTATTAGTTATCTTCAACTTCTATCTTTTCGGAGATAATCTCGGCCTAACCAGAAGATCACCTTTGGCGTCAATAACCAGGACACTTGGCACCTCGGCTACACGTCGGCGTCACCTTGACCACGTGTTGGTACTCAGAAAATATATCCCTACAACTATAATATTAATCTGTGTTCTACATAAACAATAACATTATTAAAAAGAAATTGTAACAATAAAACATACCCAGGCAATTCATCTTTAACTTTTTACTTTAACAAATGGTTGAAAAAAAAGGAAAGAAAAAATTTTTAAACAGAAAAAAAAATGAAATCTAGAGGAAAGAGGAGGAGAGGAAACGCTCCTCACCATATAAGTGTAGGGAGGAAAATATAGAGTCCGCTCTCTCTCCGGGATTAAGAAACACAAAATGTGTTTGGAAAAGACCTCTAAAAAAAATTAAAAAATTGTTAAATAGGAAAAAATGAAATCTAGAAGAAAAAGAAGAGATAGTAATTTATGGGAGAAAGAGAAGAACGTTATGGAAGAAGAAACGTGGAGTTGGGTGAGAAGGACAGTTAGAGATAAATTTAATTCTTATTATAGCTAAGTATATAGTCACATGATAAAAGATTTCAAGAGAGTAACTAGGCAAGTGAGCCGTGACAGATACGTGATAGAGCTATCGGATAGCTATAGGCATAATACGTGTACAATTCAAATAATTAATAAAAACAAGTTAATAAAAGGAATTTAATATTTATAACTATATGTTTGTGTGTTAAGTTGATAAGTATGTTCTTAATAAAAATCCAAGGTCTTGGGGTTCCAAAACTTGGTTATCATGGGTATGAGGGTCACGATTGGCTGGCTACCTTAGTAGGAGTATCATATAGGATTAGTATGGAAAAGTATCGCATGAGTATAAGAAAATATTCTGCATCTAAACTTGACAATTCAACTTGAAATTCCCTAGGGCAAGATGCATGGGGATGATCCCTCAAAGCCATGAAACATGGGTTCTTCAACATGCATGCCGTACCGTAACGGGTACTTACCAACATATAGTATTTTGTATGGTACTTTTACATACGTACTAGGTATATAAAACGCATATCCAAATTTTTTCTTCTTAATTTTTGGCGTACCTAGATGTACCTAATATACACCCAAGCTGTACCATATTTTAGTCAAAACAATATTTTCTTCTACTAAAAGGATAAAATTCAATTCACTAGATTTCTTTTTTATTTTTAGTTTTATACTTTGCATGATTTTAAAATTCAGCAATGGTTTGTAAGTTACTTAGGGTTGGTTTGGGATGTTTTAAAAAAGTGCACTTTTTGACTTATTGGTTTATATGGGTTGGGTTTGATGTGATGTGTTAGAGAGGTGATGTGATTTAAATAAGATGATGTGACTTAAATAGGATAGTGACTTTTTGACTTTTTTAGGTTATGCCAAACCAACCCTTAATATAATGACGTTTAATTTTAGTTTATATCTTTACTTTTGGCACCAAATGTTAATTGTAGGTTGGATTTTAACAAATTAAACCATTTCATCAATTTTTGCATCACTCCAAATTAGAAATAAATATTTTGTTACAAACGTACTAAGCCATATCCGTACCCTATTTTTTTTATATTTTAACGTATTGAAATACCCGTATCCTACCCGTACCCGTACTCGTGCTTCATAGCCTCAAAGACCCAGATCCACATTGCTAAAGACCATAGTGGTTTAACAGCAAATTATGGCACGCTGGGAGATACAGGTTCACATTGGAACTGAACACACATTTGTTCTCTCTTCTTGATGTAGGATTTTCATTTTCAGGAAATTAGTCCTGGTTCAAGTGAGTAGTACTCCTAGGATGTGTTACCACGGAGGTAAACTTTTGAGCAGTTGGCTGCTGGTAAAGTCCTTCAGGAAGTTAAATTTTAGGTTACAGTTATCTTCTTCACTTGAGCCATTTTGGATTCCCAAACTCCTAAGGTGGCTTTCTTTGTCTAGGCAAACAGGTGCTGGTAACATTTCAACGTGCATCCTCATACATTCTGCATGTCTAGCAGAGATTTTGATGCGGAAAACAGCTTTCTCATTTGCTGTCCATAGGGCAATAAGTTGTGGTCTCTCTTACACTCTCAGTTCACAATCTGTCAATTTACACCCCGCTTGTTGGCCAATCCTTTTAAAGGTTGGTGGTGTGAGTCAGCATCTTGCTGTCACCATTTTGTTGAAAGTAGTCCTAGTTCCTGTTGTGTGGTGTATAAGAGAGAAGCTGCACAATAGATGGATGTCTGAAAAATCAAAGCTTTGAGAGAATTAACTGGCCACTATGGTAATTGATTTGTCCTTCACTCCCTTTCACCTGTTACCTACCACTTTTGGATTATTCAGCTTTTTGTACCTATTATGTTTGTGAATATTGCCTCCATTCTCTTTGTAGATATAATTCTTTGACTAAAATATCTTAGAAGATAAAGAAAGAAAAAAGAAACAAAGGATTAAAGAAAGATATTTTTTTAAAAGCTAGTACGACAAACCTGTGTTAGCACAAAACACTAACACCCTAATGAATTAGGCATTGGTACACACGTTCCGAAATATAATACACCTTCGTTCCAGAACGATAAATTTAATGATCCAAAGTGATCCTAAAAATTTTTTCCAATATATTTCCTTAAATGTTACCGCAGGAGGAATAAAAATCAAATATAATGAACAAAAATTTAGGGTGACTTAAGTTTTGACAAGGCAAAAACATAAAAAATGGAAATATATATATTTTATTAGATACCTAATAGTTAAAATAAAATTACTGTAGAAGTACCTAAAATTCTTAAGTGTAATACATACAAGTCTACCCTTATCATACCACATTATAGAGCATGTAGCGTACCATGTTTCCGTTTCTGTTACACATGCCGGAACGATCCATGTTCCAAGTAACATAGCGACAAAAATATGGTCAAACATATGGGGGAGTACACAGAAGACCATACTTATAGGAAGACAAAAGGTAAGGACAACCTTATCAGTAAAGCTGAGAATTGTTTCACATGGCTTATCCAGGTTTTTCAAACCATAAGCAATTTATATGAAAACATATGTATAAAATTAATGTCACTGTATATGTATGTAAATGTATATTTGCTTTTTGAGAGATCATTCCCATTATAGTGATCGATCACGTTCTCATAAGAGAAAAATACGCAGACTTATGGCAAAGTAGACCAAAATAAGTACTTCTAGATTAAAACTTAAAAGCATCAAGCCAGTCCCATAGTGGAATTTGGTAAAAGCTACGAAAAACATTGTGGAGAAACAGACCTGATAAAGGCCTTCATATTATTGTAAATAGATCTGCCTTCACCTACAGCAGCAACGATTGTACTGAAATTGTCATCTGCTAAAACCATGTCAGAAGCTTCCTTCGCAACCTAGAACAAGATACACTGAAAATAAGTAATGACAAGACAAAAAACATTAAGTGATCTAATGGTAGCACCAACTTCAAAATGAGGAAAGAATTTTATAATGGCTTGGTCAAGCGCAACATAAGACCAAAACTACACAAATAATGAAGGTCTTAAAAGGACAAGAGACGGAAAATCGCTTTTAATAGTTGAAAAAGACCTAATGTTTTTTAGAGGCACAACTGAATGACCCCAACATGGACACACACACAAACATAAAGTCACTCCAAACATATAGATTTCATATGAATATGATTAACGTTAGATTGTATTTTTAAAAAATTATCTGAGAACACCTCCACCAGGCTTCTTGCATTCATACAGAGCCACTGAAACATTTTTGCAACTATGACTTAGAATGTATTAAGAAGCAGATGATGACTGCACCTAATCCTCATGTAACAAGTCAGGAAACTAATGGAAGTTCTTTAAAAATTAGCAATGCAATGCTCAATACCAAAATAAGGTTTAAAATTTGTTTACCATCAAAAGTCATACAAAATGAAAGTGTATATGGTAAAACATTTTTTCTGTTTTCTAATTCAATATACTCTACAATACCATCTTTGCATTAAAATGTAATACATTAACACTAACGAGAAAAGAAAAATAAATACCTCAGTTCCAGCAATGCCCATTGCAATTCCAATATCAGCTAATTTCAAGGCAGGTGCATCATTCACCCCATCTCCAGTCATTGCAACTACTTCACCATTTTCTTTCAGTAGTCTGACTATTTCTTGTTTATGCCTTGGTTCAGCCCTAGAGAAGAGCAGCCCTCCGCTTTGCCTTAGATGACTTTTGGGGTCAGGAAGATCCATAAACTCTCTCCCTGTTAAGCTTTTAGAACTGATGTCCTCATGTGGTCCAAATACACCTATCTCGCGACATATAGCTTCAGCTGTATTCTTGTTATCTCCTGTAATAACCATTACTTGAATGCCAGCTGTTCTCCAGTCCTCGATGGCTTGGCGGACCTCCTTCCGAGGTGGATCCTTGACAAAATAAAATTAAGTTAATACATCTTCATTTCTTCAAGCTTACTAGGAACAGTTAATGAATGAAAATAACAATGCGTTTGAGGAATGAAAAGCAAATGTGCCAACTCACTCTTAGCCCAGCCAAGCCAACAAAAATGAGTTTACTCTCAATTGTCGAATAGTTAGATGGATTAAGTAAAAGCTCATGTGCTGGATGGTCTTCATCACCATTATATGTAGCAAACTCATGGAGGTCCTCCTTGTAGGCAAAACCCAAACAACGTAATGCACTTGAGGACGTTTCATGCAGGCTTTTTAAAATAATATCCCTCGAAGTTTGATTCAGTTCTACAATAGAACCATCAAGCAATTGAACAAAAGAGCTTCGTTCCAACACATTTTCTACTGCACCCTGCCACAATGAAGCACCTGTTCATTAGTCCCGTGAATGCCTCTATGCAACAAATTGGATCGAACAGAAGGATGGAAAACAAACATTCTGTTGAAAAAATATGCATGTTGACCTCCACCATGGGATTTTCAATGATGAGAACATAAATTTTGCAACACAAACGAAAAAATATTGACACACATTAAGGTCCAATGTTTAGTCATTATGTCTATCTAATTCTTGTGAGGTATAGGCACTGAACAAAACACCCATAGATAATTTAATGGCAGATAAACAAAATCTTCTTAAAAAGTGCATGAGAAAGATCAGCTAACAAGTCTTTGACATGGTATACTTTCATGAATGCAGCGACTCCAAATAGTCACTTCTAAAATGCAATCTAGAAACTCAGAACATATCCAAAAATGCACTTATCAGATAAAGACTGACACCCAAAAATAAAAATAAAGTGAACCCATAAACTTGCATGTCAGTCTGCATTTATTGTAGATGAAACGATGAAGATAAAAATTGGACTTCATCATTGCTACAACTTGTGAAAAAACAGCAAGTACAAGAAAGCTCATGTTTTATGGAAGGAAAAGGCTATCATGAGATCAATCTCATGTAACTATTCAAGGGCCCCTATTTTCTGGTTCAATCATGCATAAGCGTCCTATATCTAATTAAGCACCACAGGATGATCAAACCGTCAAATTTTCACATCAAAATTTGATTTGATATGGAAAAAAAGCACTCTCCCTAGACCCAGTTTGATCCTATTCACTATGTGACCATGTGTGTTCTTTAGCCTAGGTGGACCAGTTAAAAGGAGAGCTTGTGTATAAACCACGACCTTGACCCTATGAAGTACCGACACTTCAAAACAAGTGACATATCTGTGTCGGACACACGGACATTTCGGGGACACGTATAGGACACACCACACGACGTGCCCCCTTATTTAATTAATTTATTTTAGGGGACACACTAGAACATGCCAAGTTGTCTTTTCTCCCATTTTATTTTTGATGAATGTTGAATGTTTATTATTTTTTCTTAGATTTAAATATGTAATAGATTATCCATAAAAAAATATATAAGCTATAAGTGTTAATTTAAAAGTGTTTTTAAAAAAAAATAGAATTAGAATTATTTTTGTTAATATTGATTGTTTGTGAGTGTAATATTAATCTACATAGCAAATAAAAATATATGCAAACATATTTTATTACCGTATTCTCATTTTTTTAAAATTGCCGCGTCCCCTCATGTCCCCATTTTTTAAAATTGCCATGTCCCATGTCCGCATCCGTGTCTATTTCCGTATCCGCATCCGTATCCATATCCGTGTTCATAAACTTTTTATAAAATTCAAATTACGCCTTTTAAATACACCCTCCAATCCATGTAGTCCATACCTTGGGTGTATCCAAGTAAGATTTTTCATAATCATATGCCATTTATCAAACCAAACCAAACCAAACCAAGTCAAGCCAAGCCTTGAGTCCCATCAAATGGGATCGGCTACATGAATCCTTTTTCCACACGCGGCCCTATCAAAGGCCATTTCATTAATCAAATTAAGTAGATATATATCTCTATTTACAACGCTAACCAACGTTAATTTAGGCCTACCCCGTCCCCGAATACTTCCATCTACCGTTACAGCATCGCACCTCTTCACTACTGCCTCTGTTGGTCTCCGTTGAATATGACCAAACCATCTCAATCAATTCTCTCTCAACTTATCTTCTATCGGTGCTACTCCTACCCATTCCCGAATACACTCATTTCTATTTCTATCTTGTCTAGTCTTACCACACATTCACCTTAGCATTCTCATCTCAGCCACACTTATCTTATCTACATGTTGTTTCTTAGTTGCCCAACACTCTGTCCCATACAACATCGCTGGTCTGATAGCCATTCTATAGAATTTACCTTCAAGTCTGGTAGGTATTCGTTTATCACACAGTACCCCAGAAGCACTTCTCCACTTACACCACGCCGCCTTAATCTTATGGTCCACATCCGCATCAATCTCCTCCGTTGTTGTGATAATCGATCCTAAATAACGAAAATATTCGCTCTTAGGCAGTTCTTAGTTCTCAATTTTCACTTCTCCTCTGCTTTTATTGTTACTGTTATATGAAGTAATGAACATATTGCTGAGTTAATGTAAGAAACACATGGCCTAGCCATAAGCAACTCCTTTTAGATTTAGAGATTACATTGGTTACTAGCAAATTGTTTCTTATGTAAGATGTTGTGCTTTCCTTTGTAGACATGAGAAGTAAATTCATAAACAGGGTATGATTTAACATTAATCTAATTATATATCATAATTTTGAAGTTATAGTCTATACTTTGACATATTTCCATATAACATAAAGCTAGAACAAGTGTAGTTGGGTTGAATTGCATACACAGACACTTATCTATCTGCATTTACTGTCAATTAAAAACAACCTGAAAGCAGGAGGTGTTAAACATTAATCTGTCTTCAAAGCAGGAAGATTAGACATCCAGTTTGGTGAGGGAATGTAAACAGAGATTAAATACGTGGCACACTGGCACCACATTTAATAGTTTTGCTGCATAAGAAAAATGGACACCTTTGTAACAAATGCTCCTCAGGTAATCAGTTTCTCCTGTGTAACAATGTGTCAAAGATAAAAATAAAAATATAAACAAACTCCATATGGCTGAATGTACCTTTACAAGCAATGATTTTCTTCCTGAGCTGGAACTCACTATAACTCCCATAGATTTCCTATCACGGTCAAATTCAAGAGTGGCAATCCGTCTTTCAAGCTTTTTCCATGTTTGACAACAACCTTAAATGCACAAAATTAAATGAAAACATCAGCAGCCACGTAAACACGATTATGAAACAACATAAACATATGTTACACTAGTAACTTACGTAGGACATCTCTATAACCTGAAGATGTGCCAGAATCCAATCCATCAGGAAGTCCCATTTTCTCAACCATAACCTGAAAACATAAACAGTCAGGATGATGAAATTGCCTCAGCTCAATATTTATATATATGCAGCAACTACAGCACATGTTTCAATGAAGAAAGGAGCATCAGTCTATATAACTCTCGGCAAGAAAATCTTCAAGTGATCTATTGTACTTACGACAGAGAAAAGGTGTAAAAAAAACTTCAACATGCACGGGGTGTTGCTACCTCAAGTGTTTGAAAGGGAAAATCCAGCTTTAACCCTTTTTGGGTAATATGACAGTAAATTCCAACTTTTTCCCCCACAGCATCATGACAGCTTCAGAAGACGCTGTAATTCTACTATAAAGACAAATGAATTTAATTTTAAACCAGATAATGAAAGTGCAAGATCTTACCTTCAATGCTGCCTCAGTGGGCATTCCGCTGGCTATGTAATGATTTCCAGCTTGTTCGATGCCTGCGTCATTGCACAAAGCAGCAATCTTTGCGATCATTTGTAGATTCGAATCCATTCGACCCTTGGGCCAATCTCGAATTTTTCCGTCAAGAGGACTATATGTGGTCCCTTCCACATCGAAAGTTCGGGTAGCAGTTGGCCCGGTACCCATTGCCACAAGCTTTGCCACTGCCATTTGATTGGTAGTTAGAGTACCAGTTTTATCAGAACAGATCACAGTTGTGCAGCCAAGAGTCTCGACGCTAGGCAACCTCCGGACAAGCGCATTCTTCTGAGCCATCTTCCGCGTGCCAATGGCCAAACATGTTGTGATAAAAGCAGGTAAACCTTTAGGAATGGCAGCCACTGCCAATGCCACTGCAATCTCAAAGTAATATGTGCACTTCTCAGAAGAGAATTTAAAATTCGTGGGCCACCCATTAACATACTCCCAAGTGAGAAAGTATTTCACATTAATAAGCCACACCACATTAATCAAAAACAAAACCCTCATATCAGCGGGGACTTTGTCACCAACCCGAAGCTCAACAATGTCACCAGGAACAAGTTCTTTTGCAGGAAAACTTGTATGCTTTTTGCCATCGCGTACCATAGTTGCTTGCTCCGACTGAATTTCTTTAAGAGCTTGTAAAGCTTTCTCAGCGTTATTCTCTTGCCAAACCCCAACAATTGCAACCACAATCAAAATCAAGAAAATCACCAGAGGCTCCACAAAAGCAGTGATCTCCATTTCCCCACCTTCCTTACCATCATACCAAGCCAAGACAAAAGATACCACAGTAGCAACAAGTAAAATCCTCACTAGAGTATCATTAAACTGATCCAAAATCAATCTCAAAATAGAATGGCCTTCATGTTTCTCCAATTCATTCCATCCATAGATCTGCCGCTTCTTCTCCACTTCATCGGGCGACAATCCGTAATCCCGATTCACCCCATACTTCTCTTCGCATTCTTGAACATCTTTAGCCCAAGCAGCGAAGAAATCTCCTCTCGATGATGATTCTCTCCCCAAACTCTCCTTTTTCCCATAGTCTTGCCCTCCTTTCCCCATCAGAACTCAACAACACAACAATATCTCAACACCAATTGACGAAACAATCGATTCAAACAGTTTCACCTGTAATTGAAGAATTTCATCACATAAAATACATTATCTGATTATGCAAATTCATTACACATATAAGAGCATCTCCAATGCACTAGGCATATAATACTTGTTAGTTAAAATGGCTAGTGTGATTCACTTTTTTCAATTCCAATGCACTAGGCATATGATTAGGCATTTTGGCTTAACTCATATTCACTAGCTACATGTAGCTAGCCTTCAACGCTAGGCAAAATGTATTCAATCATTAGGATCATTTCCCTCCATCTTTGTTGTTGACGTGGCATTCTATAAAATTAATAGTATTTGGATAAATAGCTAAAATAAAGAGCATGGTTGGAGTAAAAATATAAAACAGTTGATAGGCAAAATAAAATATACACTTTATAGTAATATTTAGATAGGTAAAATGCCTACTACCGTTGGAGATGCTCTAAACCCTGGCCCTAAAAACAAATCTGTAACTGAAAAATCTAGAACAATCAGTGAACATCCAAAGCTAATTATCTTAACCTAAGGTTCTCCCAAACAAAGCTTCCAGTCGCAATCATCTCTCTCTCTTTTATAGTGGCGACGCGTTGAGGCACATTGACGTGATGATGTGGCAAGTAAACATGATGATTAACCTCTCGTTTGGGAACAAATTAATTTAGTAATTTTTTAATTATTTAGTTAAAATATAAGTTAAAAAAATTAGTATGTTTAGAATAATTTTTTATAAAAAGATGTGTAAAAAATAAAAAAAAAAAGAAATATTTTAATTTTTTGATATGAATTATTAATTTTTTAACTAATTTAATAATTTTTTAACTAAAAGAGAAAATTCCAAACGAGGGCGTAACTACTCAATATAAATTCGGAAATTTCCACGTGCTGACCTCACAAATTTGGATTGGGACGCAACAATGATGACGATTACATATGGATGGGGTTGAGGGTGGGCCGTCCTGAAAAAATATTTACAAATATATTAAAAAAAATAAAATTTTGATTGTTATTGATGTTTAAATATTTTTTTAAGACTCCATTGGATTGTTATTCTCTTTAGATATATACATCGTTAGCCATTAGTCTTTGAAATAGCTAAAAAATTAACACACTTAATTACATTCAGTGTGTTTGATTTGAATTTTTTGGATTAAATTTTTTGAAAATTGATTTTTTTAGTTTTCGTGTTTTTTTGTTTTTAGTGAATATTTTTTAAATTTTAAATATTTTTTTTTACTTTTTTAGATACATCTAACTTAAATGTATCTAAAAAGTAAAAAAAATTGTGAAAAAATATTTTAAAAAATTAATAAATACAAAAAAATACAAAAAATTACTGAATTCTTGTAATTTTTTTTTATTTTTGGTATTTAGTGAATTTTTAAAAGATTTTTTTTTTTATAATTTTTTTACTTTTTAGGCATATTTATGTTAGGTGTGTTTAAAAAGTAAAAAAATTGCTTAAAATATTAAAAAAATTTAGTAAAAATAAAAAAATACAAAAAATAAGCAATTAAAATTTTTTGAGAAATATTTTTCGAAAAGTAAAAACAAGCAAGGTGATTATTTTTTATATTTTTCATTCATTATTTTATAAAAAAATAAAATATTAATTAAAATAATCTATTCTCATCCTCAAAAGTAGAACCTGGTGCATATACTCTAATATTCTTATATTTGTACTATCTATTAATGTTTTTTGTCTTTTGTGTCCCCATGTATTAGGATCATCACGGTAGTTGTGCGCTTATGATTATGTTTTTTTTTTTTTTTTTTTTCAAATAGTTAAATGGCATAATCATTGTAAAATTGTCTTATATTAATTAAAAAAAATGGGGGTTTAATCTGGGAAAAATTAATCTAAGGTCTCTCATTTATTTTTGATAGGAGGAGAGGTTTAAAATAATATGTTTTGATGGCTAAAATTCCTCAAATTTATTTTAGGTTATAAAGTACTTAAATTACCCTTCTTTTATAATATAAATTTGTTTGAATATTATATTGTTGACTTCACGGTGAGATTTTAGAAACCGAATTCGCAGCGGAGATTTTGTCGGAGATTGCAGTGGAGTTGACGAGAAATTTTTTTTAACATTATATTGTTGACTTCATGGTGAATATTTCGTCAGAGATTTCAGTGGAGTTGACGAGAAAGATTGCTACGATCGTGTAGATGTTACAGTGTGTTGATCGCATAGATTTTCAGTAGAGTTGAATCAGGTTTGTTTTCGATAGAGATTCCACATGCATTTTGATTTTTCTTTTGAATTTTTGTTTAGAGAGAGGCCAGCTTGATAGAGTTGATTTTTATTTTTGGAATTAATTTTTTATTTTCTGTTTTTTGATCAATTTCAAAGATTGTTGACAGTGTAGTTGATTTTGATGTTTAGAGTTCATTTTTCGTGCTCTGTTTTTCATCAACTTGTTGTTCAATGATAAGTTTTGTTCTATGTTTTTTCAAACCAGAGAAATTTTTTTAAACCAGAGAAATTTTATTTTCTGCACTTTTGTTGGTATAGTCCAGAAAAAATTGTAAGTTTGTTATTATAATCTAACGAAAATCACAGAGAAAATTATAAGTGCATATGGACATATTATTAGAAGTTTCTAATGCAGATAGAATTTGAGAAAGTAAATATAAGTTCCTAAATTTCTCTGGACTTTTATTTGTAGTTCAGAAAAAATTATAAGTTTATTACTCACTTTCAGTTTGTAGTTCAGAGAAAATTATATGTTTGTAGAAGATGAATATAAGTTTTTGTTTCTCTAAGTAAAAATTATTTTTTGTGTTTTTTCTTTTAGTTTAGATGGACAATGCAGTGTTTTTGTTATCTTGAAGGTGTATATAAGTTTTGAAAATTTCTCTGGATTTTTCTATGAGTGCAATATTACAGAATGATGCATAGAAAATTGTTAGCTTGTAGTGAGGTGAAAATCACAGAGAAGCCTATAATTTCATAACAGATATTCTGTGTCATTTTTTTCTATGATTGTGTTTAATAGTTAGCAGTAAATTTCTCTGTGATTCTCTCTGGATTCATTAAGTTTCTGTGATTTTGTTTTTTGTTATCTTGAAGGTGAATATGAGTTTGTAGATGTCTTTGGACTTTTATTTGAGTCCAGAGAAGATTATAATTTTTAGAAATTTCTCTGGACTTTTATGTTATTCTTGTGAAGTGTTTTTATGTTAAACAAATTATTTTTCTTGTTTTTTCTTTCAGTTTCAATGGACAATGCAATGTTGTTGCTATGCAAATATGGGAATGATACTATTGTCATTAATGTTTCATGCGAATTGAATTTTGAAGAATTGGTTGGCATTTTGTGTAAAATATGAGAGAATTTGAAACCTGAGACTATGTGTATTTCATATTCTATTGTGAGCCATCCGAATTGTATGGTTCAAAATAATATTGATTTTCTGAATATGTTGAGGGTTGTTTATGCATGCGGTGTTGATATAGTTGATGTTTCAGTTACTAGATGTAATACTTCTAATGAAGAGGACGAAGTGGGGTTTAATTGGGTAGATGTTATGGATGGTGAGTGTGATAGGCTAGTGGATATTGAAAGGGATTCATTCTCTAAGTTTTGTTCTCACTAAGAAAATGTGTTATTGTTAGCTGGTTGGCGAAATAATATTTCGAGTGTTGGACAAAAGTTTGAGGGTGGTGTGGTTGAGTTCCGTACTTTTTTATACAAGTATGCTATTGAGGTTGGTTTTCAATTTATGTATGTTAAAAATGACAAGTTGAGGGTTACGACAGAATGTGCATATAAGGAATCAAGGGGATGTATGTGGCGTGTACATGCTTTAGTTGAAAAAACAAATGGGTTCTTCTACATAAGGACTTTGAACAATGAATATACGTGTGGTGTGGCAGTTCGTATGAGTAAACATGCTAGGATGACTTTCAGCTTAGTTTTCTGGGCTGATACTTGAAGAGGTAAGTGCAAAACCTTTAACTCGTCCAGTGAATGTTGTCAAAGAAATGAAAGACAAGTATGAGGTCTCAATCAATTATAACTGTGGTTGGTTGGGTGTTGAAAAAGCAAAATGTAGTGCATATGGGGATTCTTGTTTGTCATTTGATCAATTACGGTGGTATTTTGATGAGGCATTGAAGAACAATCCAGGTAGTCGTTTTGAATTAGATTTTGAAGATAACAAGCGTTTCAAAAGAGTGTCTGTGGCTTTTTATGAATGCATTGCTGGTTTCAAATATTGTCGGTCATTGCTTTTTCTTGATGGAACATTTTTGAAAGGACGATACAAAGGAGTTATGCTTGCTGCAACGGGAAAAGATGGGAATGAATGTAATTGTAAATATATTTAATTTTATCTAAGTATGTGAATTTTCTATACATGTAAGAATTGAGTAAATGTGATTGTTCTCTGACAGTTTGAATTTTCTCTGGTTTTGGGCACTGTGTGGATTTTTTATGGTTGTGGCCACTGTGAGAATTTTCACTGAATTTTGGTCAGTGTGTGAATTTTCTCTGGATGTTGTCATTGTGTGAATTGTATTTGTAGGTGGTCACTAAGTGAATTTTCTCTGGATATTCTGATTGTGTGAATTTTCTCTGTAGTTGGTCACTAAGTCAAATTTCTCTAGATGTTGCCAATGTGTGAATTTTCTCTGGAGTTGGGCACTAAGTGAATTTTCTCTGGATGTTGGCAGTGTCAAATTTCTCTGGTTGTTTATTGTTCTAATTTTCTCTGCATGTGTATATCTAATATGCTTGTTCCTATTTGTTTTGTAGGTTTTTTTCTGTAGCTTTTGCTGTTGTTGATGTTGAGAATAAAGACAATTGGTGTTGGTTTCTTGAACATTTATGTAGAGTATTGGGATCAGAAAGAGTGATAAGTTTCATATCAGATCGACATTGTGGTATTGTAGAGGGAATTGCTAGGTTTTTCCCTAATTGCTTTCATGGATTTTGTCTTGAACATCTAAAGAGAAATTTGAGGGATAAGTTGTCATATGGAAACACAAATTTGGTTAGGGAGACGATTGTGTCCAAGTTTTCAGAATGTGCATATGCGCCAACAAAGGTGTCATTTCATTTCAAGTTAAATGAATTAAAAAGTGAGGGAGGAGACATTGTGAGTGTTTTCTTGAGAAGTTTACCATATGAAAATTGAAGTGATGCATATTTTGCGGGGAAATGTTATGGTGAGATGTATTCAAATGTTGCTGAGTCATTCAATTCATGGATACGAGAAGCTCGGCACTTGCCAATAACAAATTTGGTGGACATGATACGGTTGCAAATCATGAATATGAGATCTGATAGGAGGCTGCTCTCTAGTAAATGGAATAAAGTTCTGTGTCCTCGTATGGATAGTGTATTGAAGAAGTCTTTTTTGGATGGGAGGACATGGAATGTGAGTTTATCATCTGATAACGTCTTTGAAGTGCATTGTTTTCCTTCGATTATGGTTGATCTTGGGTTGAGAACTTGTTCATGTCGAAAATGGGAAATAAATGGGTATCCATGTCAACATGCTGTTGCTGCAATTTTTAGGAGTGAAAAGAATTTGAATTCATTTGTTGAACCATTTTTTCATGCTGATATG